ACATATAGTACATGACTGATACACACATGTATAATTCCCTTTACTGTTGGAGAGCTGAAAAAGAGGAGAAGCGAGCAGAAGACCGAAGTGAGAGCGAAGGGTGAAGCTTCACTCACTTTCAAGATGGGATTCAAAGACCACTGTGTTCCCCAATGCAGTGACTGAGACCCTCTATTGGGAATCATTCCCCCTCATGCCTGTGTTTCTGAGATCTGCAATAGTTTAGTGTCTTCTTTTTGCCCTGGAGCCTTAGTCAAATGAATGCTCCATCAATGCAATAGAACATTTTTAAGGGACAACGTAACAGAACATTCTGTGAAATTAAACATGCAAAAGGGCTATGAATAAAGACTGAATGGGGAAAAAAGTTAGTTATGATTGTCAAGAATATCTTAGTTTAGATCGAAAACTAGATCAGGATTAGTGATTTCTGCATTGATAAAAACAGCAGGCATAAGATAAGATTAAATCCCACGCAAACAAATTTAAAGGACTGTGTAAAACTGCACTGAACTCTGTAGATTCTTCTCAAGATGTACACAAGACATTCATTCAGCTCATTGTGTCTTGTGTAAGGCTTTCTGCCCTTTAGGTTGATTTCAGTTGTTTATCTGTGTATTGTCTGGATATATTTCACAGCTCAGAAAATGTTCTTTGTCTTTAGTTATCTGTTATGTAGAAAGTCTCTGATAAAGTTGGGAATAGGGCTGTGCGATATGACAAACATCTAATATTATAATACAAGTCTTCTCATATCATGATAAAGATATATATAGTGCTCAGCATACGAGTATACCCTATTTTAAAAATGAATATATTTATCCATTTCTCAGTGAAAATAGGCAATGTATTTTGGTGCATTTGAACAAAACAGATCTATTTAAATTCAAAAGAGTTAATAAATCAACATCTACTGGAATAATACTAATTTTTAAAAGATAACATTCTTTGAGAATTGAATAGTGGTCTTAATTTTTTCAGAGATGTATACAAGTACAGTTGAAATCAGAATTATTAGACCTCCTGTATATCCCCCCTCCCCCCAATTATCAACACATTTCTACACATAATAGTTTTAATAACTAACTTCTAATAACTGATTTATTTTATCTTTGCCATGATGACAGTACATAATAATTTAATAGATGTAAAATGGCTTCAAAATTATTAAAATCTGCTTTTATTCTAGCTGAAATAAAACAAATAAGACTTTCCCTAGAACACAAAATATTATAGGAAATACGGTGAAAAATTCCTTGCTCTGTCAAACATAATTTGGAAAATATTTGAACAAAATTTAAAATGAAATAACAGGAGGGCTAATACTTTTGACTTTAGCTGTATACAATATTTCAAATGACTGGTCTTATTTTGATTTGCTATCTTGACACATTTAAGAAATCTAGAGGAGTGATGTAAGATTATACGGTCTGTCTATAAATGGACACATAAGCAGAAGCCATCAACAGCCTCCATCTGCTGACTCCATATTCCAGTCTAAAGATATTAAATGTATAGAATTTGAAATGTTATTTTCTTTACATGAGTTTACATCTCACATTCAAGCACTCAAATATGTACAATGCTGTCAGTTTTAAGAGAGAGCGAGAGCTTAGAGGGCAATACTGAATTTCCATAAAGTGGGTTAAAAAGTTAATCAAACAAATGTCACTGAATTCATCAGTATTGCATTAGCATCTCTATGTAAAGGAGATGTCACAATTGCTTTACGAGGCTTGAATTTTAATTGAGCTGGAAGCAGGCATGAGAAAAGAGAAAGTGTGACAATTTGATTTGCTGTGAATCACTAAATGCTGTAAGAAACATAATACACTGACTGACGTAAGACTTTCACGCTACATACTGTACATATCCTGCCTTTCTGTACATGTTTATTTGACACAAAATGTTAATGTTTGCATTTGTCATTATCACTTTAAAATGTCTCTTCACACCTTCCTTGTGATTTCGTGTCCAAAGTGTGACTGTGTTTTATCTATACTGGTGGCTAAATGTGTCTGTTTATCCTGCCTATGGTTCCGAGCATGCTCAGTGAGGATGACCCAATGACAGAACGGTAGGCGCGTTTCCATTACGAATGTGCACAAAGCTTTAATGATTCTTCCTAGATATATACCAACGCAAAAAAATGACACAGTTTACATTGCCCAAGTATTAAGCAAGTAATAAGCTAATTAGCTAATAAGCTAATAAGCTTATGATTTATGATTGGAACAAAGCATTTCATAAAAAAAATGAAGTAGGAACAGTACTGCTCTAAAAAATTATATAAAGTGCTCAGCATATCCGATTACACCACATTTTGAAAATGAATATTTTTATCCATTTCTAAGTGAATACAGGCAATGCATTTTATTTATTAAAAATAATATTTTAGTCACCAAACATATTTAGAATTAAAAAAAAAATTTATACAATTAAATTCAAGCAAAATATTGCAAAAACTTTTTATAACCTACAAAATTTCAATATTTTTCTATAACATAAAATGGGGTGTACTAGTTTTTGGACTTGCTGGATTTGACTTCTGTACTGACTAATCTAACGTATATGCACTAATATAATATTGTATAACTTCTTATTAAAAATATGAATTCTTAAGATAGATTTGTGAGGGGTCTACTTATATATACTGATCACACGTCATGTATTTCCTGGGAATGATATTTCAAAATGGGCTGTTGACATGGAAGTGAACCAGATTTGTGGTAAAATCTCAAACAATACAAATATAAAAATAAAACAAAACTAAAAAATGTTGCTGAAATGTCCACCCTGATCTTTATAATCCTGATCATTTAGATGTTGGGCTGAAGCAATTAATATTAGTTTACAGAGACGAAGGGCAGAGGGTTGCTGAAAAACTACTGAGAGATTTCAGCCTCTGTCTGGGCTTTCACTGCCTTTCTACGCCTCCCTTTCTTCATGTGTTCAACACTTTTTCCCTTTTTTTTTCCCTTTTTTTCACTTTTCATTTAATTTTATTACACATAACTTAATTTGTAAACTAATTACTTTTGTTTTCTTTGCCTATATGGATTTCTTTGGTTGTTATCAACATCTAGGGAAAATTTTAAGTCAACAGCACCTTTAATAATATGTTTTCTCAGAAAAATTGTGACTTGTTCAATACTTATTTTCCCCACTGTATGTAAAGCATATATAATGTTTTAGGTATATATGGGATTATTATCATTATTAGGTATATACCGCAAATACGGAAACAACACCTGTGGTTAAAAAATAATAATTATGTTGGTGATTTTTGAGCTGTGGCTTGTCTACTTTGATTCTTTTTTTTTTCATTATTTGGTAGTGCACCCACATTAGGACTACTGAATTAGGACTGTTTTTGTCGAACAAAAGTTTTAAGTAAACAAAGCCCAAGGCTAATACAAGTTATATCAGGTCTATGCTGTTTTAGAACAGTGTTCAATAGGTCTCTGGCCAAGTGGGTGAGTTAAAAAGTTAATCAAACTTCTTACATTTTGGTCGAAATGCTTAAATTTTTCATATTTTCTCTCCCATATCACTGCTTTTGCGAAGTTTTCTCTTCTTTGAAAGATACTTTTGTTTTAGTTTTCCATTTATACCATAATATTTTCCATGACTTTCCAAACTCCTTCCTTTTCATGTCTGTTCTGCTCCTTTGAATCTAATTTCCCAGAACATTTTCTGTTTTTATTCATTCATTCATTCAGCTTAGTCCCATTATTCATCAGGGGTCGCCACAGCAGAATGAACCGCCAAGTTATCTAGCATATGTTTTTCACAGCAGATGCCCTTTCAGTTACAACTCAATACTGGAATGTTTTTTAATCAATTTAAGAAAAAACTCTGTCTCGTCTTCAGGCCAGAAATATGGTGACATCTTTAAAGAATGACTTTTTAGGTGACCTGTAAACAGGGAAAAAAAATCCATTCGTTTTTTTTTTTTTTTTTCCCTTTGTAATAAAATTGTCTGAAAAACAACATCATTTGAGCTCAAAAACTTTATCAGGCATATTTTCGACTCACAATCTTAGTTTGCGGAACATAATGTGATAAAAAGTCTGTTATGTTTCTTGAAATCTAATTTTCCCATCTTTATTCAGACTTTAATCAGTTTAAAAAAAGAACTCGGTATCATCTTCAGGCCAGACATTTGGTGCCATCTTTAAAGAATAATCATATGACTTTTTAAGTGACCTCCATATGCATAAGGAATAAACATATTATCATTTTGCTAATTCTTGTGCGAAAGTGCCTAAAAAACCACAATTTGTTAAAAAACTTAATTAGGCATTTTTAATTCACAATTTTAGTTTGTGTAATATAAAATGTCTGTTCAAATCAAATCAAATTTACCCATATTTATTGCAAATTTAATTGGTTTAATAAAAAAATCTGTCTTATCTTCAGGACAGACACAGTGCCATCTTTAAAGAATGATCATATGACTTTTAAGGTGACCTGTAAACATTCAAAATGTGTATTTAAACGTATTCCTTTTTAATAAAATTGCCTGAAAAACAATCTCACATGAGCCTTCAAACTTTATTAGGCAAATTTTCAACTCACAATCTTAGTTTGCGTAATATAAAATGGAATAAAAAGTCTGTTTTGTCTCTTGAAATCTAATTTTCCCATCTTTATTCGGACTTTAATCAGTTTAAAAAAAGAAATCGGTCACATCTTTGGGCCAGACATATAGTGCCATCTTTAAAGAATGATCATATGACTTTTTAGGTGACCTGTAAATTCGAGAAGAAGAAAATCCACTGCCATTTTGCTAACACTTCTGTGAAATTGCCTGATCAACCTCATCATGTGTGCGTAAAAACTTCATTAGGCATTTTTTCAATTTACTGTTTAAATGTGCTCAATATAAAAATGTAATGGAAACGCAGCCTATGTGTGTGTGTGTGTGTGTGTGTGTGTGTATACAGTATGTATGTCGCTGTCCCACACCTGTGCTTCTGTGTCTCTCATCCAAACAGGACCTCAGCCACATCGTGTCAGGAAAACATTAAAGGAAGCAGGCAGCCTTAGAGGCAAGCCATCTTACAATATATCTTACATCTTACACATACGAATGGAGACTATATAGTGGATCTGGTAGCCAACAAATGTGAAGTACAGCAGTTGCTTACAATTAATAAACCAAGGTCATTGCTAGTAATGTGGGGAATTTCAGTGTAATTTGAAGCATTTCAGTGTCATTTGAAAGCAGTCATCCTGAATGGCATTTTTAAGTAGCATTAGGGCACGAGGTGAATGTTTTGTAGATTTTTAAAGGTGATAAGTGTCACCTTTACAGTGATTTCTTCACAGTAGAAAAATAACTAATTTCCCAATTTAATCTGTGGAAATAGCTTTTAATACCTTAAAGTGTTCACATATGACTTCTCCGAGAAAACTAAGAGTTTTGTTGTATTCAAAAACATAAATAAAATAAATAATATTTAATCATTTAAATGATATTTTACAGCACATACAGTTAAAGTCAGAATTATTCAACCCCCTGAATTATTAGGCCCATTTTTTTCCCCCAATTTCTGTTTAAAGGAGAGAAGATTTCTTCAACACACTTCTGAACATAATAGTTTCAATAACTCATTTCTAATAACTGATTTATTTTATCTTTGCCATTATGACAGTAAATAATATTTCACTGGATATTTTTCAAAACACTTCTATACAGCTTAAAGTGACATTTAAAGGCATAACTAGGTTAATTAGTTTAACTAGGCAGGTTAGGATAATTAGGCAAGTTATTGTATAATGATGCTTGTTCTGTAGACTATCGAAAAAAATAAATCTTAAAAGGGGCTAATAATTCTGACCTTAAAAATGTTTTTAAAAAAATAAAACCGAAATAAACTTTTAGCCGAAACAAAACAAATAAGACTTTCTCCAGAAGAAAAAAATATTATCGCACATACTGTGAAAATTTCATTGCTCTGTTAAACATAATTTGATAAATATTTAAAATAAAAAATCAAAGGGGGGCTAATAATTCTGATTTCAACTGTGCATTTCACATTTAAGGGGTAGTTCACCCAAAAATGAAAATTTTGTCATCATTTACTCTCCCTTGACATGCTCCAAACCTGCTTGAGTTTCTTTCATCTGTTGAACAGAAAAGAAGATATTTTGAAGAATGTTGAAAATCAGTAACCATTGTATTTTTATTTCTACAATGTTTGTTTGTTTAGACTTTATTAACCCCAAAGGGGAAATTCACATCACAGCAGAGCTTTCCATATACTATAAAATACATTACATAAATGAAAAAGGCAATAATACACTGTAAAACCCAACAGTCCACTTTATCAAATTAAATAAGTGGTTAACTCAAAATTGACTGAAAGTTAATTCTACTCATTTGAAAAGAGTTTTGAACTCAGTGTTAAAGCTATTGAGTTAATGAAATACCTCTACTTCAACTTAAATGGAGTAAGTTCATGGTACCCAGATTAGTTCTTTAACTCAAATGGCTTGCAGCAATCGAGTTTTACAGTGTATAAATACATTCATACTGCACACTTTAGTTTCAAACAACGAGTAATCCATATCTACAGTATTAATGCTATTAAAATTTAGCATAATTCATCTAGTATGACTTTAATTATACAATCTGATCCCTGGTGGTCTGATCCTGTATCGTTCCCTGTAACACAGAGGCTGAATTAATTTTAAGCTAAATAAGCTTGCACACGTTTAGACTGTATCCAGGGTTCAAAAACATTTTTACTACTAAAATTCCATTATTTTCCAGAACTTTCAAGTACATTTACATGACGTAATGTTTCACGTAATGTCTACATACAGTACATGGCAAATAATAAGAAAAACAATGACATTCAAATTCCTTACAGCAAATCATAGAACATTCAACAATCTATTTTGTTTAAATTTGTTTTTATATAGATTTTGATCATGCTTACACAGCACTAACAATGTGGGAGCAAGTTTTTGGCCAAGGACATAAAATTAGACAACTAACCAATATTGAAGTTAGGGCTGCACAATATATTGTTTCAGCATCGATATCACAATGTGTGCATCCGCAATAGTCATGTCGCAGGATATGCAATGTGGGGATTATAGTTTAATATAGTGTTTAATCATAATGGAGTAAAAGTTTATCATTTGCATGCCTTTTAAAGAGATAGTTCTCCCCAAAATTACTTGCCATTTTCATTACACCCATTACTTGTCTCAAACATTTATGAGTTTTCTTTTTCTTTTTTTTTTAATGAACACAAAAACAATATAATTGAATAGCTCTTAAACTATTGAAACAAGTCAAGTGAGTAAATAGTGAGTACATTTTAATCTTTGAGTAAACCGTCCCTTTAAGGCCTGTGACTGTGTGAACATTCCAATATTTCAAATTTTAAAACATCCGGCTACAAGAAATTTTTTGTAACTTTAATAAAGATGAAATAATATACAATGAAGACTATGCAGTGTTGATCATTCAATATCTGTACTTGAAAAGCGAATACCTGAAAACTATCATTCACTTTTATTTTTATTATGTTTTATCTATGCTTGTATTTTATATTATTCAAGATTCACTCCTCTACAAAATCCCCCCAATCAATCCAAATAAACCTGTTAAATCATCTGGTGAAATTGTATTCACATCGCAATTATATCACAGAAATCCAAAATCTGGTAATGTCAGATTTTCCAATATAACACTCCCCTAATTCAAGTATACAGATATTTGTTAAACTAATTTCCATGACTTTTCCAAAACTTTGTGGGTTTTTCTGTTTTTCCAAGCCTGGAAAAATGCCATGTCAAAATTCCATGACTTTTCCAGGTTTTTCAAGGCCTGTGTATCAAAAAGGGGATGACAACCGTGGTTCATCACTGACAATCATTTGATCATGCGCAGTCTCTTCTATAGTGAGTAATACACCCCCCACAACAGAACCTGCCCTTTTTATACGCTTATTTAATTAGTGTTTCTCCTTCTCGTCTTAATAAATGAATGCGATTCTGACCCTTCTTGTACAGCTGAATTGTATTTTAAGACCAATTGAACTTATTTTTATTCAGATATACACCCAGTTACTTGCAGTAAATGATGAAAGGGAAATCAATGGTTACAGGTTTTCAACTTTCTTCAAAATATCTTCTTTTGATTTCAACAGTATAAAGAGGTTTGGAAACCCCTGCATGCGAGTATAAATAGTGAGTAAATGTTCCTTTATGGGGGAAATATCTCTTTAATCTTATGTGATTAACATAATGAAGCAATTTAACAATTCATCACCAACCTACTGTAATAAACGCAACTAAAATAGCTGTGATGTTCATCTATAACTCCTTTATGAGCTGATTTTAACACCTTCTTGCGAATGTTTCAAAACGCTACAAATTAAAGTAACAGGCTGTCAGAATATATCATAATCAAATACTAATTTATTCTGGTGGCGGCGGCGAACATGAGAGTGTTTAGAGGCTATAATGGAGGTCTGAGGAGTCTGGAGTCTGTGCTCGCTGTCACGTCACCCTCTGCATAATGGCTTCTGGTAAAACGGTTTTGACTCGGGTCATGCTGTTCGCCTGCTGATAACCACCACAGACACACAGAAACTACACGGAGATGTGTGGAGTCTGATGAGTATTCCTGACGACGGGCGCTGGAGAGCGGGAACACCCAAATATCTCCAGAAACGAACACAAGATTTACTGACTTTGCAATTTTTATCTGTAGACGTATATACGACCATATGGGTTTTTTTTATAGACATGGGTGCTTGCTAGTCTTTCTCACTGCTACATTTGAAATCATCAATTTTTCTCGATGAAGATGTCATTCAGGATGAACGGTACACTGAAAATCAGGAAGTAGCATATACAGTTTGTGGCCAAAAGTGTGTGAAAACCATATTCAGGATTTCTGCAGATTAATAATCTATCTATCTACAAATCTATCTATCTATCTATCTATCTATCTATCTATCTATCTATCTATCTATCTATCTATCTATCTATCTATCTATCTATCTATCTATCTATCTATCTATCTATCTATCTATCTACAAATCTATCTATCTATCTATCTATCTATCTATCTATCTATCTATCTATCTATCTATCTATCTATCTATCTATCTATCTATCTATCTATCTATCTATCTACAAATCTATCTATCTATCTATCTATCTATCTATCTATCTATCTATCTATCTATCTATCTATCTATCTATCTATCTATCTATCTATCTATCTATCTATCTATCATCTATCTACAAACTGATTCTATCTATCTATCTATCTATCTATCTATCTATCTATCTATCTATCTATCTATCTATCTATCTATAAACTGATTCTATCTATCTATCTATCTATCTATCTATCTATCTATCTATCTATCTATCTATCTATCTATCTATCTATCTATCTATCTATCTATCTATCTATCTATCTATCTATCTATCTATCTACAAACTGATTCTATCTATCTATCTATCTATCTATCTATCTATCTATCTATCTATCTATCTATCTATCTATCTATCTATCTATCTATCTATCTATCTATCTATCTATCTATCTATCTATCTATCTATCTACAAACTGATTCTATCTATCTATCTATCTATCTATCTATCTATCTATCTATCTATCTATCTATCTATCTATCTATCTATCATCTATCTACAAACTGATTCTATCTATCTATCTATCTATCTATCTATCTATCTATCTAATCAAGTGCCTGTAAACGAAACTATTCTGGCCGTACAGAAACATGTGTCTCAAGATGCCTTGTTTAAAACATGCTCTTAGGAGGCATTCACCACATCAGCCCTGAAAAAGCAGTGAGCGAAGCCATGGATGACTCTTCCGACTGGATTACATCCATCTTGACTTTTATGACTAATTTGGTAGCGCCGGAAGAAGAGGAGGATGAAGGTATATTAATTTGCCATGGGATTTTTTTTTTCACAATAGCAGCAACAAAGTGTGTACTGTGAAAATAACATAATCTCTAAAACCACAGACTAACCACAGCGGTTTGATCTGATGAGCCATGTGTATAAATAGGTCTTTTTGGAAATAGGAGCTGGCTTTTATGGTCACGTTTTTTTTCCTCTCTGCTGAATAAACCTGGTTTGGTCTCCCAATGGGATTGGCAAATAGCACTGATTATGTTTGTGCACATCTATGTTTATGCAATCTATGGTCTGATATAATATTATAAGATCTGCTCAATGATGAGTGTTGTTATTGAGGAATATATTTAAGGATGGGTCACTGTTTTACAGCTTTACACCACTATGAAGAGTTTTGAGAAAGAGGATGAGGGATTTCTGCAAGGAACTGTCCACCTAAACTCTGTGTGATTCTACAAAATGACAATAAAAATCAAACAAAATAGTATCACATCTCTGTCATTAATCTTTGTTAAATCATCTTGGTTTCTTTAGTATATATTAAGTTACTTTGTGTTGGATTCAAAGGGAATTATGCACAGTAATATAATATTATTGAAAAAAAGTTCATGTGTGTTTATGTAATTCCTTTAGGACAAGTAATGCTTCTGTACAAAATTTCCATTGAGTACTAAAATAATTGTTTATATTCTGTATGTGGGGACTAAAACAAATAAAATAATTAAATTTACTTTAATTAACTAAGTACTAAAATAGTAGCTCATATACTGTATGTGTGAAATAAAATTGATATTAAGTAGTTAAAACATATAAAAATAAATGAATAAAATAAATAAATAAAATGTAATTTAATTAAATTTATTGAGTACTAAAATAGTAGCTTATATTCTGTATTTAGGGAATAAAATCAAATAAATTGTAATTAAATTAGTTAAAATTAAATATAATAAAAATAAATAAATAAATAAATAAATTTCAATGATTAATTTAAATTAATTGAGTCCTAAAATAGTAGCTTACATACTGTATGTGGGAAATAAAATAACATTTTATTTTATTAAATAAGTCAAAACAAACTAACACAAATAAATAAAATATAAATAAATAAACAAATATTAAATAAAAAGTTATTTTATTTAATTAACTGAGTACTAAAATAGTAGCTTATATTCTGTATGTAGGGAATAACATGAAATAAAATGTAATCAAATTAGTTAAAATAAAATTTTATAAAAATAAATGAAAATATAAATAAATAAATAAACTTCAATATTCAAATGAATTTTTTTATTTTTTTAATTGAGTCCTAAAATAGTAGCTTATATTCTCTCTCTCTCTGTGTGTGTGTGTGTGTGTGTGTGTGTGTGTGTGTGTGTGTGTGTGTATAATAACATAAAATGTAATTAAATTAGTTAAAAATAAATGAAAATATAAATAAATTTACTTTATTTTAATTGAGGACTAAAATAGTAGCTTATATTCTGTATGTAGGGAATAACATGAAATAAAATGTAATCAAATTAGTTAAAATAAAATTTTATAAAAATAAATGAAAATATAAATAAATAAATAAACTTCAATAATCAAATGAATTTTTTTATTTATTTAATTGAGTCCTAAAATAGTAGCTTATATTCTCTCTCTGTGTGTGTGTGTGTGTGTGTGTGTGTGTGTGTGTGTGTGTGTGTGTATAATAACATAAAATGTAATTAAATTAGTTAAAAATAAATGAAAATATAAATAAATTTACTTTATTTTAATTGAGGACTAAAATAGTAGCTTATATTCTGTATGTGAGGAATAAAAAATTAAAATGTAATTAAATTAGTTAAAAATATAATAAAAATATTAATAAATACATTAATTAATTAATCTAAATGAGTACTAAAATAGTAGCTTATATACTGTATGTGGGGAAATAAAATGTATTAATTAATTTAGTTAAAATAAAATAATACAAATTTATAAAAAAAATAATTTAATTAATTGAGTACTAAAACAGTAGCTTATATTATGTATGTGGGTAATAAAATAAAATGTAATAAGAGTAGGTAAAAAAATACATGAAAAACAAATCAATAAATAAAATAATGAATAAAATGTAATTTAATTTAATTAATTGAGTACTAAAAGAGTAGCTTATATTCTGTATATATGGAATAAAATCAAATTAATTTAGTTCAAATAAAATATAATAAATTTAAAATAATTATTATATATATATAATATAACATAACATAATAAAATATAATATAATATAATATAATATAATATAATATAATATAATATAATATTGGTCAAAAAACTAATCAGGACTTCAGGGCAAAATAAAACTACTAAAATGCTTTAAGTAAAAGTGCATAACTTAACTCTTATTTTTAGATAATATATTTTAAAACTTTTTTCTACATCTTTTTTTTTGTTTTAGCCAGCAACCTTTTAAAAACTGAAATAAATGAAAATAGTCAAATAACAAACCATAATATTAATAAATTAATACCATAATTAGATGATTATAATAAGCCATAATTATAATCATCTAACTAACTATCAAACAAACAAGCAATAATTCTTAAAGGTTTAAACAATATAATATAATATAATATAATATAATATAATATAATATAATATAATATAATATAATATAATATAATATAATATAATATAATATAGTTTAAAATCTTTCATCTTGTACAGCTGCCATTTGTTCTTGCTTTAAACATAGAAAATATTATACAAAATAAATACACAAAAGTACTATTAATTCAAAACAGTTCAATGTTCAATCTGATCCTGCTTTTTTTAAATCACATTTAAATTTTACTTTCAAGAAACTGTCTTTTAAAAGAAGACTATAACATCTTTTTAAACACACCTCTGCAATGCAATCCAAAGGAACAGATGATGGATTTTATGTCATAACAAAGCAGAAGTCAACAGAACTTAAAAAAAGTAATTATCAGGAGAGAACAATAAATCTCACTCACACACACAACAACCTGAGACATCTTTACCTCCCCTCTTTCATTTTGGATGCTAATTGGCCACTGTGGTCTCATTGAGAGCTCCAATGGCCTGGTGTTCAACCACAGATGCACTTAAAAGCTCATTCAAAATGTTTATAGGTGCTTTATGTCCCCTTTATCCTGATTTTGTATCAAGTTTTTGTGACTCAGTGTCTGGGAAAGGTGCTATATAAATAAACCTTTACTTACTGACTAAGTTTAAGTCAATAGAGTTAATTTTAATCAACCTTAAAAAATGTATCCCATCAACTAAACCAACCAAATGATAAGGCTGGTACAGAATAGTACAGTAGCAAGTTAGCAAACAAAGCTAACTGACAGTTTTGTTCATTTTCCTTTTTTTTTTTTTTTTTTTTTAATATTTTTAATAATGCGTAATATTAACTACATAAGCTTTGGTGCAGGTGTGTATATTTATTGGAATTTAAATAGCTCACCCTCATTTACATTAATTAAAATACACAGTTTAAAACATACACATTTTTGGACATGGATATTTTTGTCCATATTATGTTATTTTATGTATCAGAGTATTTTAAGTTTGAAAAAAATCCATAAAATGAAATACATTTAACAATACAAAACAAAACAAAAGTAAGATAAAACAAAAAAAATAGTAGCTAATATATGTGGGAAAAAATTAATATGTGGTATAATTAAAATAAAAAGAAATAAAACAAAAGAATAGTAGCTTATATATGTGGGGAATTACATTAAATTAATATGAGGAATAATTAAATTAAATTAAAGATAAAACAAAAGAATAGTAGCTTATATATGTGGGGAATTACATTAAATTAATATGAGGAATAATTAAATTAAATTAAAGATAAAACAAAAGAATAGTAGCTTATATATGTGGGGAATTACATTAAATTAATATGATGAATAATTAAATTAAATTAAATTAAAGATAAAACAAAAGAATAGTAGCTTATATATGTGAGGAATTAAATTAGTTTTAATAAAATACATTTAATAATGTAAAATTAAAAAATTAAATAAAATTATAAATGAACCAGTCACAACCAGAAATTCTGTCCTGATGACTAACAAGACAAACAAGTAATTGTAATTAGAGATTAGTTTTTAGTCATAAGCATAAATAAAAAGTGACCAAATGGTTTGTTGTTTTAAAAACGTATAATACTGATATAATAATGAATTATTCAATTATATATGAATAAAATTTAACTATAAATATATAATAATATAATATAATATAATAAAATATAATATAATATAGTATAATATAATATAATATAATATAATATAATATAATATAATATAATATAATATAATATAATAAAAAAAATGATCAGGGCTGAAATTCAAAACTGATTTTGTGCGTTTCAGGGAAAAATAAAACTAGTAAAATGTATTTAATTTAATAATAATACATAAATAAAAAACACATAAATAAATATACAGTAACACTACATAAAAATAAATGTCACAAAATGAATGTTGTTATTTGTATTTATCATTGATACATCCAAAACTGTAATTAACAAAACTAAATCTGCGTAGCATATGGGAAAATAATTACTATTTTACTTTTTTTTTTTAAATAAAACAAAACACCTGCACCAATTTGAAAAAAAGAAAAGACAAAAAGCATAATTTAAATGGTTAAACATCTATAAATGCATGAATATTTGGTAATATTTGTTAATTTGGTAATTATAATTTTAAAAATAAAAATATCTTTATGACATTTTTGAACATATACATTTTAGTCCATTATACACTTTAGGTCCATGGTATGTGTAACTTTTTCTAAAGAGTTAAAACTGACAAACATACAGCTACCGTATTTGCTTTAATCATCAGTCAAATCTCCAAAGATGAATCAAGCTTATGACAATTAAACAAGGCCCATGAAGTACTTTAATGAATGACATTTACTTTAATTAATTATCAGTGACCAAGAATCTGCTATCAATTAACTAAACCCCCACAATGCCTCAAGAGTCATTACACAAATGTTTCAAGAGCTAAAACATACAGAAAATACAGTACAGTACAAGTGTCTGACACCTTCTGAATTACAAAAGAAATATTTGTGTAGCAGTCAGAGCACAAATGAATACATAAGCACAGAGAACACTTTAAGAAACATTTATAAGGAGAACTCAAAACACACACTGAGAGAGAGACAATTGTGACATTGCCATTTGCCAACCAATAACACGCTTGGCTAGGATTCCTCATAAGTCACCTTGAGGTGCTCATTTAAAATAAATGCGTGCGGATTGACTGCTACATCGCTTCAATAGCTCCAGTTATCAATGAATGCTTTTCACATTGACGGTTACATCACACACCAACAAAATATATCATCTGCAATGTATACAAACTGATAACAACACTGTAAAAAATCTATACATTAGCCGTGTTTTTGAACTTTATGATTTATTTTTTTTATGATTTTAGTTTATGTTTTTAGATTGCATTATAGGATCTTAATCTTGCTTTTAACAACTTTTAACCATAAAAAGGTTGAAAAGGTGACTTTTAATAACATTTTTAATACCTTAAAGTGATATATTGTTTGGGTTGGTGTTGTATGTTGCACTACAAAACCTTTTAATAAACTGCCAGGACATTTTCTGTTATTTTACAGGCTTAGACATGATATTTCAAGCTACTAAAATGTCAATAAAAGTCACTTTGTTAAACTGTAGAGTTAAATTCATAACATCAAACATCATTAGAGCAGAGATCAAGCTTTCATAATGCAATTCACAACCGTAAATCAACAGAAAAACACTTGTGTTTGGAAAATATGGAAACAGATTAACTTTTTGTTTAAAGTGCAGACACACTATACAGCTGAAGGCAAAACTAGCACTAAATGCTATGGAATAAAATCACTGTCATAAATATTTTGTGCGTAAATAAAATTCATGCATCCGTAATTATAAAATCGTAACGGAAAACGGAACGTAGAAGTAATTTTACGAGTGTACAATTTCTAATTCCTAATTTTGATTCTGTAAAATGTCCAAGAAACACAGCGAAAATGGACCTCATTACGTCTCAACCTTTATTACAGCTCATGACAGACATTTCTCAAAGAGGGAATAACAAAACTTTTACCTGAGACGGTGTGTGGGGGTTCTGAGTGCCCAGGAGGCACGCCGTTGTGATCGATGACTCTTGCTTGTTCATTAATGCCTGTGACAGCAGTGACGTAATTTTGACAGTGGAGTGTTGCTGTTTGATTGGTACTCGTAATCAGGACTTGTGTCCGTGGTGAAACTGTGTTTCGTGTTTGTAAAGTACACACATCACAAATTTATCTGTCATATACAAACAGACAAAGAAAAGGTTTTATCTGTGTCTGTTTTAATCGCAGGTTTTGGAAATGTACCCTCGTAAAATTACGAGTACGTTCAGTTTTCTTTTCTGATTTTATAATTACGGATTTGTGAATTTTATTTACACACGAAACATTTATGACAGTGATTTTATTTCATAAAAAGTTTAATTCAAATATTCATCTCGTGATTTTTATTAGAGCAAAGACATTTTCAAAGTATTTTCTATAATATTCATTTTCTTCTAGTATTGGTGTCATTTGTTTTAGTTTGGCCTTTAATAAAAGTTGTTTTTAAGGTCAGTATTATTAAAAAAGGTCACACTTTATTTTGATGGTCCGTTTGTTACATTGCACCTACATGTCAACTAATTCTCATTAGATTATTAGTAGACTGTTAGGTTGGGATTAGAGTTGGGGTTAGTGTAAGTTGACATGTACTTGCAAAGTTTTGTATTGTCAGTTAAATGTCTGTTGAAGGAGCGGTATCAACAGATATTAAGTAGACAGTGTACCAATACTCAAATGGACCATCAAAACAAAGTGCTACCTTAAGAAATTATATAAATAATAATAATAATAATATATAAAGAATTTTGCCTTCAACAGTAAATTTATATACTACTGGTCAAAAGTTTGGGGTCCGAATGATGTTACACAAACCAAGACAACACAGTACTAATAAATGTTATTAAATGTTTTAAAATAAGCTTCTCCTGCTCACCAAGGCTGCATTTATTTAATCAAAAATACAGTACAAATTGTAACATTGTGAAATGTTATTGCGCTATAAAATACCTGTTAAAAAGTAGTTTATAATTTAATTTAATAATAAATTATTATTTCAGTGATTTTAAAGATGAATTTTCAGCTTCATCACTCAGTGTTCAGTCAAACAATCCTTCAGAAATCACTCTAATATTAATAATTATTGTTGTTATTAGTAGTATTGTAATTACTATTGAAGGTAATAACAAAAGCAGCTAACGACTGGAATATTCGTTTCATTTTAAACTACATAAAATAAGTAATAACTAAATATTTAATAAATATGTATTTAACCATTTTTACTTTTCTTTTACATTAAATAAATGCCGCCTTGATGAACAGAATAATTGCATTTAAAATATTAAATAAAATTATTAATAATAATTATAAAAAAAGACCCTTTGACTGGTAGGGTATTTTTTTTTATCCTGACCTTCACAAAAGGGCTAATGATATCGTCTTCAACTCCAAGTGTACATAAAATATTAACTTTAACATGAATTTATTGTTAAAAAATATAAGAAGTATAATTTTACTATTCATAAGTGGTAATTATAGGTGGTCCTTTCGTCATTTCATTGTCAGCTAAACAGCTCTTAAGGAAAATAAACTTTTTAAAATAAGAATAAAAAAAAATAGATTTTGTGGTTAAACCATGGTAACCAGTAATCAAAATGGTAGCTTAACAATGGTTTTGATTTGCAGTAAAAAATCTTTGCAGTGTGGTTAGACAAATAGCATTCAATACAATCAATACACCAATAAAACCTGGGTACAATTTAACCAGAGATTGAACCCACTCTCACTTAAACACAAAATACAATTGTCTTAAATACAAAAAAAAAAAAAAAAAAAAAATATATATATATATATATATATATATATATATATATATATATATATATATATATATATATATATATATATATATATATATATAATTAAAAAATAAAACAAGCCAATCATAAATAAAAAAAAATGTTATCTCTGTATGATCCTTGTCACTTCAAGGCCTCCACTGTAAACAATTAATAAATGAGCTCAAAACTTTTATTTTATTTTTGTAATTTCTTGGATAATTTATAGTCAAAAGTGACAACAAATAAAAAGAAACGTTTAATTGACTTAAAAAATGTAACCATTGTTTAAATAAGAAAAAAAATGTTGCTTTTAGTTTTTTACCCTAAAAACAAAACATTTTATGAGTTTTTTTAAGGCAATCTCACAAGAACGTAACTTTTTGATTTAGCAGCTAATTAGAATGACTTTATCTTAACTAATCTTATTCATACATCTTTAGTATGATTTGTTTAAGCCCCAAATGATGATTGTGTTTAGGATAGTGGGTTAGAGGCTGTTTGTGCCTCATTGGCTTCCTTTATAACCACATTTTTTGATTGCAAAGCCTTGACTCCAAATAACCATGCATTCTTGATTGTTGGTGGCTTTCCCTGTCAGGATGAGGTACGATTTATTATTTTTACTGTTGACCATCAGTTGGCACCATTAACCCTTTAGATGGGCCAATGAAAAAATGTTTCTGGCTTTAATATGGAATTCTTTGGAGTAAAACAACAAATTATAGTGAGTGTGCATTAATACACTTACAATGTTTATGTTCTGAGAGCTGAGCTGCTTATTTTTTTATTTTCTCAAACATAATAAGGTAAGTGTGCAAAGGTCTCTCAAAAAAAAAAAAAAAAAAAGCCAGAAACTAAGCTTTTTTTTTTTTTTGCACTGTGATGAACAACAGTAAAAAAAAAAATTTTTTACCTCTTCCCAGCAGATAAAGCCACCAGCAATAAAGATAGCATGATTATATGGTGTCATGGCTTTGCAATCAAACCATTTTGTTATAATTGAAGTCAAAAGTGCAAAAACAGCCACCAACAAACCAATAAAGTTGTGAATTTGCAAACAGTGCTGATTTTTTCCCTAAAAAATTAATTCCCCAGCATTTCCCTAAAATGTGTCAAAATAAGATTTGCCATAAAAAAATCATTCCATTTTCTGAAACACAGAGACAATTGTGGTTGAATAAAGCCTCAGAATCACACCAGATCACCACCTTAAAACATCCACAAGAGCACACAAGGGTTAATATTCCTACATAATTTCTAATTGTGTGGAAAAAAGTTCTTTAAAGCACAAATAAAACAAAAACTTGAGGGGCAACTACATGAATGTTTTTTGATTTTTAGTTTTATCTTAAAGTCTATTATTTTGGCTTTGTTTTAAATCATTTTACTTTTTGTAGAGCACCACAGCTCTATACAAAACCAGCAATAATTTATCCTCTTCATTCTAACCCAGATGGGTGTATTTACAGATCACACTGCAGAAAAACAGGCTCGCCAGATCAAATCGCTCGACAGTCAAACAAGCTGATTAATTAATCATTTTACTTTATTTACAAATGTAAATGCATCACCAGTTATAAAGGTGGCTGCATAATTAACACTTTCTGAGTGTTCTTGCATGCAAATGAAATGTGTGGGGGTGAAAGACGGAGGTTGCAAGAAAACACTTCTGCGTATGCATGTTTGTTTATGTGTGCGTGTGTGTGTTGATGCTGGCATGCCTTTTTTTGCTTCCACAGAAGATCTTAAAGGCCAGAATAAAGTGCTATGAATCGTAGACAAGCCTTTTCCTCTCTTTGATCCACATTTATAATTTATTCAGCCCTCATCAATGTTTCAAAAGATCTATTTTGTAGGTTCTTCTCTAACACTCTTGTCTTTTGTATTCCTTCCTCCTTCACCAATTTAGGCGAGCGTCATTTTGTGAAGAAAAAAGGTTAGTATCAAACTCTGTCCTCCTTCACTTTCATTATACACAAATAAGAGACGCATTGGTTAAAAGGTGAAGGCAGACTCATATGGTATAAAGGCAAACCTGTGTTTTAAAAAAAATCATTATACACACTCTTCTTTTGAGATTAGGCCTACATATTTAAAAAAAAAACTACATGTTATTTTTAGGCACCTACACTACAACTTAGGTACCTATACACTACAATTTATGAATTACACTTTTAAAAATTTTTTTTTAAAAATGAACTAATTAAAATTGTAGGGGGATTTGCTGCATAGATATTTTAGAGTTTATTACAACTTTTAACAAAAAATATGGGTTGAATTTCAGTTAAAATGGTAAATTTCAGTGAACTGTGCAGTAAGTTGCCTTACAATCCTAAGTTGTCAATGTTTTTTACATTTACATATAGTCATTTAGCAAACGATTTTGTCCAAAGGGACTTAAAATTGAGGAGGTATTCAGCAATTCAACAACAAGAGGCAATACATACAATAAGGTGGTTTTGGTATCATTCACCGGGGTTCAGGGGCCTCATGTATCAATGCTGTGTACGCACAAAAACTTTGCGATTGGGCAGCTGAAATGCCGGTTGCGCTGCCTTGATAAGAGCGGAGGGGTGCTGCTATACTGCCCTAACAAAGGGTTCCTCTAATACATCTGTGTCTCCCACAGACACAGATACTACTACAGACAGAAAAGTGTTGACTACAATTGGGGCAACTCTCTCCTCAAAGGGTGTTAGTTGAGCATTCCCTGTTACCCCGTCTGTTCGGTCCACACTTTGACGTTGCACGGCTGTTCTCCTCTTAACCTGCACCTTTACATCGGACCATTTCTTTTTTAATTTGTTCACAGTGCGATGTTCAGACCCCACTGCGTTAACCACGTCAGCTTAACTCTCCCACTTTATTTATTTTTTTTTGTTTGTTTTGTTAGTAATTCCGGAAAACAAACTTGCAAATAACACAGTTTTTCTCCGGTCTACCTCTGATAGGAGCACCTCCAATTTACATTCTGTAAAGTTTCTCTTCTTGCTTGCTTTTGCCATTATTTTTTCACTTGGTTTTGCCAAAATTGAGTTATTACCATATTTATTAGGGGGAGGAGACAGAGAGGGGTTTTGTGCTCGTGCACGTGCGCTCAGTTTCACGTTAATTCGGGATGTACAAAGAGAATATGCGTGGGATTCTGCGTACGCAGTGTTTCTAAATTTTTTACTGCGTACGTACATTTACAGCTTTGTCCGTCCGCAATGTTTTAGTGTGAATTCAACGCAAGCATTTGTTCATGAGGCCCCAGATGTTTTGGGAAGAGATGGATTTTTAGTTGTCATTTGAAGGATACCAGTGAGTCTGCAGTCTGAGTTTGGAATCGAAAGGTCATTCAACCAGCGAGAAACATTGATTGAAATGGTTTTGGAATATGACTTATAGCCTCTCTGTGATTTTTTTAAAACTGTGTTATATTAGATCCCAAAATATTTTGTCATTATTGATTGTAACAATTTTATCTCATTATTCACACCTGCTATTGCATTCATCTTATGATATGCACTACACAAAAAATAACAGACTAAAATATCAAAAAAGATTAAACTAAAAACAAAAAATAATTGTTTTGTAGACATGTTTTTAAAGAAATTTTCCTAGAAAGTTTAAGCTTATTGGTCCTCAACTAAAAGAAAAAAATATGCTGAAATAACAAAAGCAAATTCCACACTCTAACTTTAAGTACAACTTAACTGTCATTATCATTTAAAGTAGAAATGCAAGAAAATATGGAATTTTTGTCCGACACCGATAACCGATTTGAAGAGCGATAGCCGATATTAGCCAATAGAAATAAATAGTAAATTTTCTGCATGTTTGTAAACATTTACATTCAATAGCTGATTTTATTTTTAGAATGTTACCTCCAGAAAAGTTTGAACTGATCTCAGAACTTTATTAACCAACTATTTTTTAATATAAATAAAATTAAAAAATATTTCAATATGGCCACCAATAAAAAAGCATCCTTAATTCAAGGTCTCCTTATCACAGAAAACAACCTCAATAAATAAATACTTAATCGTTTTTCTATCAAGAACCTTGCTTTAATCAACATTAAGCAAATCCTGCATTGTAGATTATATTTAGTCATATATCATTTATTCTGAATGTCCACAGTATAGAGCCGATTTAAAAAAATACAATTTCAAGAACTAGTGACATTTTCAATGTGAAAAAGTGACGTTTTCACTATCTATTGAATACACAGAAATAGAGTAGAGTAGATAATCAAGTACTAACAAGTAACTTATAACTAAGTGTTTGTCTCTATTTAACCGGTATTAGCGTAATAACAAAAAGAGAGTACATTATATAATAAGTACTAGTATCTAAGAATTAAGTATTACCTAATGAAAGGCACTAGACCCAAAAAATAAGTACTGATAATGTTCAGATTAATCTGTCTATCATTAACAATACCACATTCCAAGTCTCTTAAAGGGGACGTATACAGTATTATGCCAGTTTTTACAATATGTAAAATAAGTCTTTTATGTCCCTAAAATACGCATGTTTCAGCTCAAAATACCCCACAAATAATGTTTTGCAACTCTTTGAAGCTGCCCCTTTTGGGTTTTGATGCTGATTGTGCTATTTCGGTGACTGTCACTTTAAATTCAAATGAGATTGTGCATGCAGCCCTCTTCTTAAAAAGTGGAGCTAAAATGCCTGTGTGTCAGCATAGTGGAAACAAGACTATATATGCTAATGAGTGAGATATCACTAATGGGTGGGATTTTCCCCATCTGATGATAGGTAAAATGTCAATCAAAGTGTTTCTGTAGACTAATTTTAGTATTAATACATGAATGCCATTAGAAGCTGGCTATTTTAGCAAGTGGTTACAACACAACTGTGTTTAAACCCGTTATAAAGGTGATTTTTGCATAATAGGTCCACTTTAAATTGCCTTGATTTCATTTTGATCCGCATTTTGAACTTCAGCAGATTGTCTTCACATCGTCAAAGTTTATTTTTCCCCCAGTACTTGAGTTTTTTCCCATCTATATTGACCTTGTAAGCTGCATGTCCTTTTTTTCATGGTTTTCTGAAGCATTTATTAAAGTGGAGCACAACAGCACTTGGGTGTCAAGTGGTGTTTGGTGCAAATAGTCATATTCTGTCTGTCGTTTTGAAAACTGACACATTGCTGAACTAAATAAATATGCAAATCTCCTCACAAAATGCTACTCACATTAGGCCTGTGAGACTTTCAGCTGCTAATTGAAAGAGTATTAAAAGCAATATTTAAAAGGCATCACTTCAGGTGCCTATGAGGGGGAATATTTTGACAGGCTCCTGAAAAAAAGTCTTAAATTAAAAAAAAAAAAAAAAAAGGAAGGAGCTGTGGGTTTTTGCTGGATTTGAAGGACCACGTTCAAATTAAAGGGTCCTGAAATGCCCCTCTTTCGGTTCAAGTCTACCCTGGATTTTTAAAAGGAAATGCATTATAATGGGCGTGGAGCGCTGCGACCAGTGGGAGGAGTGGGTGTCACCGGCAGAGCAGGGGAAAAAAAGAGGGAAGCGAACAATTGTTGTCAGTTGCCTCACATAAAGAAAGACAAACTGTGAGGAAACCAATTATCTTATAGTTTATAAAGATAAAATGCAAATAAATAAACAGTAATTTTATATCCTGCTACATTTGTTATTTGTAATTCCATATACACACAACCACAATTTATAATATCAAACAGATAATCGTGTTTATATAAACACTATAAAGGAGGCACTCCTCTTCTCCTCAATCACCGGGTCAGACACAGTGGATAGCTTATAGCAGTGCAGCAGGTCTCTTTCCCTATCTATTGCAACCATTTGCCCAGCCCTGTAATCTGAAGGATTTTAAGGCGAACACAACAGCACGGACATGGGCGATGTGTCTGAATAGTAACCAACTCAACTAATAAAAGATAAAGTCCGCCATTCTCCAATTCTCGTACAGCTCTCCTGACAAAAATGCTTGCTGCAAACCAACAGCTTTGCTATATCGACCCTACAGCATCACGCGGAAAACATGCAACAAACACCGTGGATCATGAAAACAATCACACACGACCCTTCATGAAAGGCTAAATACTGTGTGCCGCATGCAGAGTCCGTGGGCGCAATCTCACCCAGTCATTGGCTCTCACAGCTTGCCAGGTCTGCCTGCCTTTGGAAAGCACATGCTCTCATGAATAATAAGGAAGCAGGGTCTTCTCATAGGATAAGAAAACTCCACAATGAATAATAATGAGAAACCGATGTGTCACTTTACTAGCAAATTTGCGCTACCGATATCCGTAAATACGTCACAAATTTGATTCTACCCCAAAAATAGTTTTAAACTCTGAATATGAAATTAGCTGACAAAATTATCCAGTTTTCCCTGACAGGTACTACTGTTGTCCTAACTGATGCTCAACACACAAACACACCCACACACACAAACACTCCAGTCATCAAAACACCCTTGTGCTTTTTTCACAAATGTTTCTTATGTTTAACACTAACAATGTTTTGAATTAAAGTGATTAATTACTGAAAAAAAGGGAGTAAACCCATTGTAACTTGGAATTTAGGTTGACTTAACTTATTTTTTTATATGTTTTTGAGTAAAGTCAATTTATTGCTTTGTAAATAAGTGAGTAAACCCACTGCTTTTAATGGAAAAGTCAATTAATCTTTATTAATTTCAATCAATTTTTGATTTTTTAAACAATATTTTTTTAAATCACACCTGAAACACAAACAAAATGTGTTTTTTTTTTTGTTTTTGTTTTTTGAAGCAATAATACTGTAAAGTTAAAACTATCAGTTCATAATTGATATATCACAACCACAGTACAGGATTTTGCAATCAACCAATTTCAATTTATTTCTAAATTTGTTCTTATCCAATAGTCTGTAATGTGGATACATTTCTTAAAGTTTCAGACCCCAAAG